GACCATCCTTTTTATCAGGCTATTTATTTGCTCTGAAATCCACCTTACTTGACATAGCCACCTGAGCATTGTTTTGATTGTGATTTGCATGGTATATCACTTGCTATCCTTTTACTTTTAAGCTTTCTATACCACTATATTGGGGGGAAACTGACACCTTGAAAATTATCAGCCTTTCATCCCATGAATGTGATAAATTCTTTTAATTGTTTAGGTGTTCTTTAATTATTTGTAGTAATTAATGTAAAGATTATTTGTAATCTTGTAATAAATAATGTAAATTTGTTTGTGGGAATTTGAATTTTTGCCGCTAAGTGCTGTCATTTTAAATTTAAATTTAAATTTCCTACTTTTTGCTTGTATGTTGGAATTTAGTTGACATTTGCCCTGACTTTCCATTGCTGTTCAATTTTTTCTTTTTTTTTTTGGCAAGGTCTCATTCTTTGACTTAGGCTGATCTCAAACTCCAAGCCTCTAGCGATCCTCCTGCCCTGGTGGTACTCTTCAACATTTCTAAATTCTTCCCCTTGATTTTCAGCTTTAAATGACACCCTTTATCTCTCAGTTATCACAAATGGGGCAATCAGTGAGCTAGTCTATTGTCTCTTCTCTAACCTTCATTTTCTATATTAGTTATCTATTGCTGTAAAACATATTACCCTAAAATAGCAATAAGTATTTATCTTAACACCATTTTTTGTAGATCAGGAGTTCAGGAGTGGCTTAGCTGAGAAGTTCTGGCTCGGGGTCTCTTGAAGTTGCAGTCACTCTCTTGGCCAGGGCTGCTGTCATTTGAAGGCATAACTGGGACTAGAGGATCACCTTCCAACATGGCTCTCACATGACTATGTGAGACCTCAGGTTCTCACGATATAGACCTCTCCATGGGGCTTCTTAAGTGTCCTTATGACATGTCATCTGGCTTTCTCCAGAGCAAAAGGACAGCAAGAGTGCATAAGGTGGAAGCCACAGTGTCTTTCATGGTCTATCTCATACGCTATCATTTCCTCAGTGTCTTATTGGTACACAAGTTAACCCTATTCAGTGTAGGAGGCAGCTACACAGTGTTGTGAATACCACATACTGCCACATACTGGGTACCTTTGGGGCCATCCAGGATGCTGGCTACCATAATTCCACTCTTACTATTTTATTTAGATTTGCATTTAAATATGTTCAACATCACTACTATTCTTTTGCTGAAACTTTCACTGTTTTCTTTTTTGTGGCTGGAGTATGTCTTGTAGTAGTTTCTTCTGAAAGAGCTTATGTCAACAGTATTTCCTAAGTCACATCGTAAAACTCCTTATATCCTTTATACTCGAATGACAGCTTGGCTGGATATAAAAATGTTTTGACTCCCTCATTTGTTTTTTTCACAAGTATATTGGAAAATTTACCCCACTGTTTGGGGTACTGAATTTAGCAATGGAGAAGTCTGATGACAACTGAATTTCCTTTTTCTTATAGGTGACTTGATATTTTTATCTTGATTTCCCCATGAGTTTTAGTCTAATATTTTATTAGGTAATATTTTAGTATTATTTTGGATCATTCTCACCTGTAATATAGTTTCTCTTTTCATCATGTTTATTTACACTTTATTTTGGAAATTCTTCTTGAATATTAAAACTATAGTTTTAGATATACAGCTAAAACAATAGTTTTAGATATATCCTCTTAATTTGGATTTCATCCTTAGGGGCTCTGCTTTTTGCATATTGGATCTCTGTTTTCACTTTCATTTCTTTAAATAATTTTCATCTTTTTCTATTATTAAATTTTGTTCTGTTCATTAATTTCTGTATTCTTTGTTCCATAGTATACTTTCTGTGGTATTTGTCAGATCTTATGTACCTTGTAGTTGATTTATTTATTAGAGATGGAGTTTCACTGTGTTGCCCAGGCTAACCTCAACCTTGAACTCCTGGGCTCAAACAGTACTCCAGACTCAGTCTCCCAAGTATCTGGGACTACAGGCACATGCCACTGCATCTAGCTAGTTTATCCTTCATTTCTAATGTGATTTTGCCTATTTTCTCTTTCAGTCTTGAAATCTACTAACTCCCATCTATGGTCTCTCTGTTACTTTCTCCTCTTTCCTGAGATTATGTATTTTTGCTTGCGTTCTTGGTTTAGAGCTGCAATTGCATCACACTTTTTAAAAATTCAGATTAATGTAATCCCAGCACTTTGGGAGGCCGAGGTGGGTGGATCACGAGGTCAACAGATCGAGACCATCCTGGTCAACATGGTGAAACCCTGTCTCTACTAAAAATTACAAAAAATTAGCTGGGCACGGTGGTGTGTGCCTGTAATCCCAGCTACTCAGGAGGCTGAGGCAGGAGAATTGCCTGAACCCAGGGGGCGGAGGTTGCGGTGAGCCAAGATCGCGCCATTGCACTCCAGCCTGGGTAACAAGAGCGAAACTTTGTCTCAAAAAAAAAATTTTTTTTCAGATTAAAATGTTGGGTAATAATTTTCATCTTCTCTGAATTTTTTTAGTGGGTTTTTTTTTGTACCTGGGAGATTTTGACATACTTTTAAAACTTTTATCTAACTATCATAGGCATGTTGTATCTAATTTATATTTTGGGGTGGGGATAAAATAGATTTTCCTAGAATAGTTATATCTGGTATTTTCCTGTGAAAAAGGTGAATGGGGCAAGGGTAGTTTTTAAGGTTCTTTTTGCTCAAGAGTTCCTTCCTCTGTTATCCCAGTAGAAGACAATTTTTTAAAAATTTGGCTCCCTTTGAGGCATTTGACAAAAGCCAATATCCTTTTATGATTTTTTAAAACACACACATACTCCACAAACTAGGAATAAAGAGTCATTTCCTCAACCTGATATCTAGGACAAACTCACAGCCAACATCATACTTAATGGAAAAAGACCGGATGTTTTCCCTCTAAGATCAGGGACCAGACAAGGATCCCCACTTCTGTTTAGCATTGTTAATGTTGGGCAATTGGGCAAGTAAAAGAAAGAAAATACACTGGAGAAAAGATTGGAATAGAAGAAAGAGCATCTCTATTTGCAGATGACATGATCTTCTACGTATAAAATAAAACTTATACTCTGGAAACTACAAAATAGATATTCAAACAAAAACTTTTACGTGAATGTTCATAGCAGCATTTTAAAAATAATTGTCAAAAGGTGGAAACAACCCAAATACCCATTAACAGAAGAATGATAAACAAAATGTGGTCTATTCATCAGCAGAAATATTATTCAGGCATAGCAAGGAATGGAGTACTGATACATGCTACAATTTGGATAATCCTTGAAACCTTATGCTAAATGAAAGAAGCCAGAAGCAGGTCCACATATGTTATTCCATTCATATGAAAGTCCAGAATAGGGAAATCTGTAGAGACAGAAAGTAGATTAGTCATTATTTAAGGCTAAGCATGGTACAAGTGTGGCAGTGGGGAGGTCAGGGGATAGAGTTTCTTTTTGAAGTGATGAAAATATTCTACCATTGACTTGTGGTTGCATGTATTTGTGAATATACTAAGAGCCATTGAACTGTTCACTGTAAATGGCTTAATTGCGTGGTATGTGAGTTAATCTCAACAAAGCTGTTTTAACAAAACGAATACAGCCAATGTGTTTTGCCACCTTGAATCCTTTTGACATCTTCAGGCCTCCTTTTGCACCTCCTTTTTACATCATTCCTGCTCACAGAAACTTTCATTCAGGATATGGTCTACTCCTCAAGGGACTGGATATTTCTCATTGATTTTTCTTTGTAGCATCACTGTGGCTTCCACACACATTCTGTTCTTTCATTTGCTCTTGGCCACATCTCCAAAGAATTTGGAGTCTGTTGATTTTCTCAGTTTCCTAGTGGTTGGGATTTACTTTTATTTTCTTGTTTCTGTCTACTTGGTTTCCAGGAGGACGAATATCAGGATTAGAGCTAGTTCTTGGCTGGATATGGTGGCCTACACCTGTAATTCCAGCACTTTGGGAGGCCAAGGTGGGAGAGTATTTCTGGGGGGCAGGAGTTTGAGAACAGCCTAGGCAACATAGCAAGACCCTGTCTCTACAAAAATAAAATAACTTAGCCAGGCACAGTGGTGCATGCCTGTAGTCCCACCTATTTAGCAGGCTGAGGTGGAAGGATTGCTTGAGCCTAGCAGTTTGAGGCAACAGTGAACTGTGATTGCACCACTGTACTCCAGGATGAGTGACAGTTCAAGACCCTGTCTCTAAAAATTTTTGTTAATTATTTAAATGAACTAGTTTTTTTTTCCTTAAAACTGTAATAGTCACTCTCAAGTTCTTTATCCTCTCAAACACAAAATATGTTTTAGTCCACAATTGATTCTCCAGCCCTTCACTCTTCTTGGAAAAGTGCTTCAAGTCTTCTATGCCGCTGAAGCTCTCTGTCTCCTAGGACCAATTTATGCTACATGCTTTGCATGGAGTTTTCATGAACCCCTCAGATTGTGTATATCAGTCTTCCCTCTACCCTCTCACACCAATTTTGTTGTATCTCTAATTAGAAACAGTTTTAAACCTTACTTTAAAAATGCAGAATGCTTTCTTATTACTTCTGAAATAAGGCCCAAACTTCATAACCTATTTTTAGGGCTTTTCCTAACAGGATCCCCATCTGCCACTAGTCTTTCCTGTCACTCTGTGTACCTTGAATGCACAAAGATTATCTTTGCTTGATTGGCATGTGTTGTTTCCTCTGCTAGGAGATTCCCCTCCCCTTGCCCTGTCTTCTCTAGTGCGGCCCTGTGGAGGAAAAGTTAAATATTAAATTCGAACTCAATTGAACATGGACACAAACAGTGGTCACCAAGTCCCGGAACAGGTCGTGTGAGCCCCCTGAAGCATTCATGCAGCACTGTTTCGGAGAAATCTGTTTCAATCTATTCTTCTACATTAGTTACTGAAAAACAAGTTGACCTTTTTGTGTTCATTGAGCCCAGTTGGGAAGGGCCCTCATGACTGGGCCTAATGCCAAACAACTTGTTACAGAAAGAGCTAAGGTCCCAGACTGTGCTGAAGCATCATGAGACCTCTCCGCGTCTGTGAATGGATAGGTGGCCAACTCTGGAGCCCAAGCTGTGGCTTCCTGGTCTGGTGGTGAATCCTCTGTAGTCTGGTGAGTCCCTTCTCCCCTTCCCATTGCAGTGTGCTTATTATATCATTTGCTTATTATATTTGCATTGCCATTTATGTGGGATAAAGGTTGTTTACCCTTAAAGGTATTGTGTGTGTGTCTTTTCTTCTCCCCTCGTGCATTTCCCGCACAAAACAGCCCCTCAAGGGTCAGCTGAAGTACCATCTCCTATAGGAAAATTTCTCTTACAAACTAGTTTTGGTTTGGGCTCCTTAGAACTAGTTGGTTCCTTTTATAAACATGATCACCTTTATTTCCTACTGCATTGTAATTGCTTCCTTATTTTTCTGACTGTGAATTCCTTGACAGCAGGTCTAATTCCCTTAGCTTTGCTAAGCACAAAGCTAGATTCAGAGAGGCTTTTATATATGTGTGTGTGTGCACGCGCATGCGCGTGCACGCCAAAGATTTATTTCTTCATTTCTTGCATTTGAAGGACTCTTTGATGACATCCTTGGCCTGAGACTCCTTGCCATAGTCCTTAACTACTACACAACTGCAACCAACCACTTTATAGGGCTTCCCTTCTCTGTCAGTTTTACAGAGGCCAGCCCATTCCCCTAGTTTCTTGTTGTTATCAACCTTAATGAGGCTGATTTGGTGTTAAGCACAAAGGGCCTCTACCAACTTGACATACATAGGCTCATCACAGTTGGATGCAAGCACTCAAAGATGGACTTGGCGCTTGTCTAAGCCTTTGGCAGCTTCTTCAATTTCACATGCTAGGCCATCGTGGATGAGGGCGGTCTTCAGCACCTCTTGTAAAGCAGTATTAACGTCCATTACATTCCAGCAGCAGTGCCTTCCTCGGCCCTGTGGGTTATAGGTCAAGCTGAATCTTAGACGCAACCAAGCCTCTGCCTCCATATGACTCAGAGGCGGCAGGAAAAGAGCCAATATATTTTTTTAATAAAAGTACTTGCTGGCCGGGCGCGGTGGCTCACGCCTGTAATCCCAGCACTTTGGGAGGCCGAGGCGGGTGGATCGTGAGGTCAACAGATGGAGACCATCCTGGTCAACATGGTGAAACCCCGTCTCTACTAAAAATACAAAAAAAATTAGCTGGGCCCAGTGGTGCGTGCCTGTAATCCCAGCTACTCAGGAGGCTGAGGCAGGAGAATTGCCTGAACCCAGGAGGCGGAGGTTGCGGTGAGCCGAGATCGCGCCATTGCACTTCAGCCTGGGTAACAAGAGCGAAACTTCGTCTCAAAATAAATAAATAAATAAAACAAATAAAAGTACTTGCTTCAGTTGGGCACGGTGGCTCACACCTGTAATCCCAACACTTTGGGAGGCCGAGGTGGGTGGATCACAAGGTCAAGAGATCGAGACCATCCTGACAAACATGGTCCCGTCTCCAAAAAAAAAAAAGAACTTGCTTCACAAAAAACTGACTACTTGCCCAACACAGCCTTCCTTTCAACTTTGAGTTCTTTTCATGAAAAAGCCATCCTGATGCTTTTATAACCATGATCACCTTTATTTCCTACTGCATTGTAATTGAAATGGAAACATAGGCAGCAGAGATCATGGCTACTCCTATAAGGGAAAGGTCCAGCTCATCCTCCACTCAGTAAAATAAGAAATCCTGAAATCCAGAGGGTAGAATACAATATTCAAAGTGAAGAAGCTTTGCATTCAGCAAACCTATGATATTTCCTAATAGTGAATTTGAGCAAGTGACCCATTTCCTGATCTTTTAAATGAGACAAGTAACTGACATTCATACGTGGGTTGAGGATAAAGGTTAATGTATGTGTATATGAATTTAGGGCAAGCCAGAATCGACTTATCTAGTAGTATCCTGATCCATATTATGATTTTGGCATAAGTAACTAGACTGAAACTTCACCCTACTTTTGTTGAATCTCTCTGGTTTTGGATAGGGCCAGGATTTCTTCAGATTGATTCCTTCTGACCTATGTCCAAGGAAGAAAATGGCATTCCTATTCGTCCATTTGAAAGCTCTGAGAAAGGCCTGATCTCATGATTCTTTCCTTCTAGCTCTGCTTTCTCAGCACACTGCTTCACCAAGAGAAGAATCGAGAGGAGGACTGGTGGACTTGGAATGTTAAGTCATGGCCCATGTGAGTGTAATTGCCTGTCTTCAAAAATATAACCCATTTATATCACATCATGTGAATATTTTTTATTGCTTATTCTTAAACTGCTTGCCTGAATCACTATTGAGCATCATAAGTGATGATTGTGAAATAGTCCAGTGCTTTCCCTAGATATCCATCTTTTCTCCAACCGGTATGACCAAATCTATCCACCAGGGCTTTCAGTAGCTCCTGTGTCCCAATCTGGCAGAGCACTGAAGAAGATAAATACATTTCATTCAGGGGAACTGTAAGGACTTTTGTTTTAAACCCGTGGCTTAACAAGATGGGATGGAGTAATTAAAGGGGACATACTACATAAAGGCTTTCATTTACTCTGTAGAATGGGATATTTAATCAACAGGGGAGTTGGAGTTCGTTGGTATTCATTTAGGTATATGGCACTTTGTGACGCTTTCCTTAGCGGATATTCTGGGAGGTTGAGTTCACAGAGATCTGGGGTTTTCCAGGAAATTAATGAGAGGTTAGTATCATTAACAGTTGGAGGCTGGATGCGGTGGCTCACGCCTACAATCCCAGCACTTTGGGAGACCAAGGCGGGCGGATCACAGGGTCAGGGGTTCGAGACCAGCCTGGCCAGCATAGTGAAACCCTGTCTCTGCTAAAAAAAGAAATACAAAAACTTAGCCAGGTGTGGTAGCAGGTGCCTGTAGTTCTAGCTACTCTGGAGGCTGAGGCAGGAGGATCACTCCCAGAACTGGGAGATGGAGGTTGCAGTGAGCTGAGATTGTGCCATAGCACTCTAGCCCAGGCAACAGTACAAGACTCTGTCTCAAAAACAAAAACAACAACAAAAAACAAAACAAAAAAATAATCCGGGATTAGTTATTCCAGGCTGATATAGCCTCTCAGTGTTATTGACAAAAAACTCGTGATGACTTTCATAGTCATCACTTATGACACTGAATTTGCTGATTGTCAGCTGCTTAGCTAAGAACCTGGAGATTCTACACATTTTCCACAGAAAATAATATTCAGTCAGAGAGTGTACCTCTTGAGAATTCTCTCAATTTAAGCTAACAGAAAACTCAACTAAACGCAGCAGCAGAAGCAAAGAATAGTTGCCTTGGCCAAAGACTCTGTAGGCACAAGTCTGTTTGTGCCCAGGAAAGACTGCTTACAAGCAACAAAACCCCCAGCTTTTCTCACATAATAAATCTGGGTTTAGTTCTTCCTGGCTGGTGTAGCCTCTCAGTGGTATCCACAAAAACCTCATACAGTATCTGTTATTCTGGGCTGCCATTCTGATGTTTTGGTATTTGTGATTTGAAGATCATAAAGATGTGGTGACTGAGCAACAGGAGTTTTTAAGAGCATGTAGGCCAGGTACAGTGGCTCATTAGGACTTTGGGAGGCCAAGGCAGGCAGATAACTTGTGGTCAGGAGTTCGAGACCAGCCTGGCCAATGCTGCAAAACCCCCTCTCTACTAAAAACAGAAAAATATAAGCTGGGCGCAGTGGTGTGCACCTGTAATCCCAGCTGTTAGAGTGGCTGGGGCACAAGAATCACTTGAACCTGGGAGGCAGAGGTTGCAGTGAGTTGAGATTACACCACTGTACTTCAGCCTGGGTGACAGAGCAAGTATATCTCGAAAAGAACAAAAAAAAAGGAACATGTAGGCACTCAGCTTTAGTCGCCCTTATTCCCTCCCATGTCATTTCCCCCAAAACCACAGGCAGCCAACTCCAGTTTTTGCCCAGTATATGCCCCACTCCCTGAAGTGCCCCTTTCCAGCTTTTCCCCTTTGATCTAAAAGGGGTTATTATTTTTAAAAATTTCACCATTAATATTTGGACTTGTTCTTTCAACAGTTGATGTTCAGGGACGTGGCTATAGATTTCTCTCAGGAGGAGTGGGAGGGCCTGGACCTGAAACAGAGGGATTTATATAGAGATGTGATGTTGGAGAACTACAGCAACATGGTTTCACTGGGTAAGATTCAGCATTTGTCCTTAGAAATTTAGGCTTTCTGTATTGTGAAGTTTTTTATTGTTTTAAAACACGAAGGGTAACTTCCGACCTTTGTTTTTGGGGAAATGATTTGTGCTTTGCAAATCTGGCAATAGTTATCATCAGTGGGCACATCCATCTTTCCCATCCTCTATAACTTATTTCTGCCTTGCCTGTAATTGTTTCTCTTCCTTAATAACCAAGGAACTAGTTGCAAATTTTAGAATCTTTACCATGTGGTTTTTTGCTGTTTCTTGTCTTCTGGGCAGGTTTTTGCGTTTATCAGCCAGATGTGTTCTCTTTATTGGAGAAAGGGAAAGAGCCCTGGAAGATTTTGAGGGATGAGACAAGAGGACCTTGCCCAGGTGAGTGAGGGCTGAACAGGCACAAGGAGGCCATCATTGTGGATAACAGCTCAGCTGCATAATGAGGCAGCATCACCTCTGAAATACTGGTCTGGTATATCCCTTTAAGAACAAAACTGAGACAGACATAGTGGCTCACACCTGTAATCCTAGATTTTGGGAGACCAAGGTGGGCGGATTGCCTGAGCTCAGGAGTTCAACACCAGTCTGGGCAATGTGGTGGAACCCCATTTCTACTGAAAAAAAAAAAAAAAATACAAAAAATTAGCCGAACATGGCAGCACATGCCTATAGTCCCAGCTACTTGGGAACTAGGCAGGAAAATTGCTTGAACCTGGGAGGTGGAGGTTTCAGTGAGCTGCGATTGTGCCACTGCACTCGAGCCTAGTTGACAGAGCGAGACTCCATCTCAAAAAAAAAAGACCAAGACCAAAAACTGGCTGGGTGCAGTGGCTCACACCTGTAATCGCAGCACTTTGGGAGGCCAAGGCGAGTAGATCACCTGAGGTCAGGAGTTCGAGAGCAGCCTGGCCAACATGGTGAAACTGTCTCTACTGAAAATACAAAAATTAGCTGGCATGGTGACACACACCTGTAGTCCCAGCTACTTGGGAGGCTGAGGCAGGAGAATCGCTTGAACATGGGAGGCAGAAGTTGCAGTGAGCCAAGATCATGCCACTGCACTCCGTCCTCGGTGACAGAGCAAGATTCCATCTCAAAAAAAAAAAAAAAAGGAAAAAAAAAACAATCAATACCAAAAAACTTTGATGAAGGCCTGAGACCTAGATAGAGACAGAACCTTTTCCAAAAGAATTTTCTCTTCACTCCAAATACCACTCTATTTTTGTGCTCTCATTTTTTCACTCATATAACAAAAAGGTAAGTGCCGTTCTTTTCTCCAGTGGCCCTTATTTTATCTATGATTTGGATCAGGTTCCTTTCCATCTCTCTCTCTCTTTTTTTTTTTTTTTTTAATTTAGATATTTGTAAAATTCTTCATTTTGTAAAAACAAAACAAAATCGTTTTTACCCATCCCTTTTGAATTTGTCTCATCTTTCCTGGCTTCTCCTTGCTTGTATGTTGCCTAAATTCATTAGTTCATTCTTTTAATGACATTTATGGATTTTCTCATTTTAGGTTTAGAAGAATTAACAAAGTATAAATCTCTTAAGAAACTTTTTATTCTCTTCTGTGACTGGAACATGGCCATACATTTCTGCATAAAGGGCTCTACATTAAGAGAGGAACTAATAGGCTGCTTAGTTGAAAATTACAGTAATAGGTGAAAACAGTTTCTAGTCACAGTGAGAAGGAAGTGGCAGAAGAAAGGTTAGGGCTCATGAAGTACAACTAGGAGAACACGGTGTCATAAAAACAAGTCCGGCCAGGCGCAGTGGCTCACGCCTGTAATCCCAGCATTTTAGGAGGCCAAGATAGGCAGATCACCTGAGGTCAGCAATTCAAAACCAGCTTCATCACATGGCGAAACCCTGTCTCTACTAAAAATACAAAAATTAGCCAGATGTGGCGGGCACCTGTAAACCCTGCTACTCAGGAGGCTGAGCCAGGAGAATCGCTTGAACCTGGGAGGTGAAGGTTGCAGTAAGCCAAGATCACGCCACTACACTCCAACCTGGGTGACAGAGCAAGACTCCATCTCAAAAAAACAAAACAAAACAAAACCTAAAAACAACAGAAAAAGACAAACCCTGGCTTGTTTAGTTCCCTGTATTCTCCAGCTTTTCTTCTCTAACAGTAATCATCATCTACTGATTATTCAACATTTATCCCATGTAAGGCACTTACTAGAAGTAGCATATTATTCCTTGCAACAGACCTCTGCAAAGTGGTTTTATTCCTTTCTATAATGTGGAAGATTCAGTTAAGCTCAGTAATTTTCCAATCATCTAAAAAGTGCTTTGAGTAAACAGAACTGGAGTCTGAAACTGCAGTTTGTTGTCTTTCCATTGCGGTACATTACTCTTCATTTAGTAACTAAACTGCCTTTCAATTCATTCAGTCGTTGATAGAGTACTCGCTCTGCCTCCCAAGAAAAATTCACCCCACAATCATATGACAATTGTACTTGATCCTAAATACATATAAAAAATGAGTCACAAAAGAGTCCTATTATTCTTAGCTTGTGCCAGAGTCCTTCTCCCTTGAAAAAATTTCTCAAATTATTTCTTTGTTGTTGTTGTTGTTAAGAAGGGTCTTACTCTCACCAGTGATGGAGTGCAGTGATGTGATCATGGCTCACTGCAGTCTTGACCTCCTAGGCTCAGGTGATCCTGCCACTTCAGCCTTCCAAGTAGCTGGGAGCACAGGCATGCACCACTACTCCTGGCTAAATTTTTTTTAGATATGGGGTTTTCCCATGTTTCCTAGGCTGGTCTCAAACTTCTGGACACAAGCAATCCATGTGCCTCAGCCCTCTGAAGTGCTGGGATTACAGGTGCGAATCATTGTACATGGCCTTCAAACTATTTTTCTGTCTGAACTGTATCCCCATCATTATCTCCTTTAACCTAAATGCATCATGCCCTGTTACTGAGATCCTAGTACTCTGGTAACTCTGGATGAGATTGCTTCCCTCATATTAGACTGTTGCTCTGCTATTTCCCAGCATTCCTATTTTTAAGCTCTGAATTATATAAGACATTCATCATAGTACTTACAAACTTGTAGATATTTTCTGAGTTGTTATTCTGTTGCTGAGGTGTTACCTGGATAATCATTTTTTATTGAGCTCCTCAGATGAATATGATCAAAATAAAATATACTTATCATCACTTGACTCAACTTGTATTATTTCTTTTAAATTTCTACTTCTTGCCTTTTTTTCATATTTCTCATATTTGAGAATTTTTAAGCCATTGACTTCTGATATGATTTATTTCAAGATTTTCTGTATCTCTTTTAGAAGTTTTATTTCAGCTGGGCGTGGTGGCTAATGCCTGGCATCCAAGCACTTTGGAGGCCAAGGCGGGCAGATCACCTGAGGTCTGGAGTTCAAGACCAGCTTGACCAACATGGTGAAACCCCATCTTTAAAAAAAAATAAAAATTAAGGCCGGGTGCGATGGCTCACGCCTATAATCCCAGCACTTATTAGCTGGGCATGGTGGCGCGTGCCTGTAGTCCCAGCTACTCGGGAGGCTGAGGCAGGAGAATTGCTCGAACCGAGGAGGTGGAGGTTGTGGTGAGCCGAGATCGTGCCATTGCACTCCAGCCTGGGTAACGAGTGAAACTCCATCTCAAAAAAAAAAAAAAAAGAAGTTTTATTTCTTTTTGTATGTAAAACAGTATGTTTTTGCCTTTTTATTTTTCAGACATGCAATCCAGGTGTCCGAACAAGAAGTTATTACCAAAAAATGGCATTTTTGAGAGAGAAATAGCCCAACTGGAAATAAGGAAAATATGTAAAAACCACAGCCTTGAATGTTTGTGTTTTAGAGGTGATTGGGAAGGCAATGTTCAGTTTCAGACACTGCAAGATAATCAAGAGGAATGTTTCAAGCAGGGGATACTCACCTATGTTAAAATGCCCACTTTTAACCAACACACAGCCTTTAATTTACACCAGAGACTTAACACAGGAGACAAACTTAATGAATTTAAAGAATTGTGGAAAGCCTTTATTTCTGGCTCAGATCGTACTCAACATCAGTTAATTCACACAAGTGAGAAATTCTGTGAAGATAAAGAATGTCGAAATACCTTTCTTCCTGATTCAGAGGTTACTCACTATCAGACAGTTGACACTGTTAAAAAAACATATGAATGTAAAGAATGTGGGAAGGCTTTTAGTTTACGTTCGAGTCTTACTGGTCATAAGAGAATTCATACCGGAGAGAAACCTTTTAAATGTAAGGAATGTGGAAAGGCCTTTAGATTTCATTCACAGCTTAGTGTCCATAAGCGAATTCATACTGGTGAGAAATCTTACGAATGTAAGGAATGTGGGAAGGCCTTTAGTTGTGGCTCAGATCTTACTCGACATCAGAGAATTCATACCGGTGAAAAACCCTATGAATGTAGTGAATGTAGAAAGGCCTTTAGTCAGCGATCACATCTTATTAAACATCAGAGAATTCACACTGGTGAAAAACCTTATGAATGTAAGGAGTGTGGGAAAGCTTTTACTCGTGGGTCACACCTAACTCAGCATCAGAGAATTCATACTGGTAAGAAATCTCATGAGTGTAAGGAATGTGGAAAAGCCTTTATTCGTGGTTCAAATCTTGCTCAACATCAGAATGTTCATGTTGGTAGGAAACCTTATGAATGTGAGAAATGTGGGAAAGCCTATATCTGGAGCTCACACCTTGCTCGACATCAGCGAATTCATGCTGGTAGGAAACCTTATGAATGTAAGCAATGTGGGAAGACTTTCACTTGGGCTTCATATCTTGCTCAACATGAGAAAATTCATAATGAGAGGAAATCCTATGAATGTAAAGAATGTGGAAAGACCTTTCTTCATGGCTCAGAGTTTAATCGACATCAGAAAATTCATACTGGTGAGAGAAACTATGAATGTAAGGAATGTGGAAAGACCTTTTTTCGTGGTTCAGAACTTAATCGACATCAGAAAATTCATACTGGAAAGAGGCCATATGAATGTGAAGAATGTGGAAAAGCCTTTCTCTGGGGTTCACAACTTACTCGACATCAGAGAATGCATACTGGTGAGGAACCTTATGTATGTAAAGAATGTGGAAAATCTTTTATCTGGGGTTCACAGCTTACACGACATAGGAGAATTCACACTGATGGAGAACCTTATGGATGCAAGAAAAGTAGCCACATCTTTAGTCACCATTCATATTTTGCTGAACAAAAAATTCATAATGGTGCAAATCTCTGTGAATGGACAGACTATGGGAACGCCTTTTGTCATGATTCAAACTTTGCTCAACACCAGAATATTTACACTTTTCAGAAATCCTATGAATTTAAAGATTTTGAGAAAGCATTTTCTTCAAGCTCTCACTTCATTTCACTCTTGTGACATACTATTATATAAAAGCATAGGAAAGGCTTTATTCATAACCCATTAATTTTGTTGATTTTTTTCTCTTGCGGAAACCTACAAATGTAAGTAATATTGGAAACATTTTGACAGGGCACACAATACATGCAGCAGCAGCAGGAGCAACAGAATTCATCATGCAATCTAGGAAAGAAATTACTGATCAGTTATCAATTATGGAATATCAGGGTAAAATTTTATATGATAGCATGAATTCTCTTTGAATCATATTCAAAACATTCTCATCAGAGATGTTGCATAAAGAATTTATATATAATTCAGCCAGGCACAGTGGCTCACACCTGTAACCCCAGCACTTTGGGAGGTGGAGGCAGGTGGATCACCTGATGTTAGGAATTTGAGACCAGCCTGACCAACATGGTGAAACCCTGTCTCTACTAAAAATATAAAAATTAGCTGGGTGTGGTGGTGAGTGCCTGTAGTCCCAGCTACTCGGGAGGCCGAAGTACAAGAATGGCTTGAATCCAGGCGGCAGGGATTGCAGTGGGCCAAAACTGTGTCATTGCACTCCAGCCTAGGTGACAGAGTGAGACTGTCTCCAAACAAAAACAAGAACTCACAAGACTTTATGTCTAATTCATGTTGGAAATCTTTCGTCACTAGCAAGTTTGTTGTATTTCCACAAAAGTAATGTAATTTAGAAAAGCCTTGAACTATGTCATAAAATCTATTTGACATGTCTTGTTTCAATACATCCTACCTCTCTATATTTTTGGAAAGTCTTAAATCTATGTTTGTTTAATCTTATTCATTAGATTGTAAAGGTTGAATGATTTGATATTTACATGACTTAGTGACTGTCATTAGTATTTGTATTAAGCCATTTTATGAGCGGATATGAGTTTAATGATTATAGACAAATACGTCATCTCTATGTCTTATTTAACATCAGAATGTTAATTCTGAAAAAAAAAAACCGTAAAATACAGTGAAGATAAGAAAGTTTGAATGACTATTAATTTCACATGCTACATCAAAAACTCTATAACATCCTTGTGACTAGTGAAAGTGGGGTTGTTGAGTGTTCAGCAGTTTTTAAAAAGACATTCAGAAATGATTTGTCTCTAACAAATTTCTAAAGCCAGATGTCATATTTATTTTTCACCACAGTTACAACTCAGAAACTAGCAAATAGCCATGTGGATTCTTGCCTCTTGGAAATTTAGTACTACATATAAACCATTATTGGATTAAAGATCAGAGAAGAAGTGAAATTCCAGACTATTTAGAATGATAATGAGACATATTTTAAATCCTGTGAAATAACTAAAACTGTTGCCAATAGAAACTGTGTATAAAACCAAGAAGATTGAGACCATTTTGCTTCATATCACCACTGCACCCCCAGCAGTTAGGTCAGTGCCTATAATGCTGTAGGGCCTCAAATACTTTTTGAGTTAAATAGTGATTACTCAGCAAAGTAGAACAAATACCCCAAATGAATGAATGGAAAGGCTTAATGGAAAGCTGAAATCATGGAATAAAAAACAATACAGGTTTTTATCAAAATCTGATCCTTTGAAGAAAACTACCATTTACTAGGCTTTATCAGTGCCTCTACTATATTATCAGAAAGGAGGAATGGGATAAAATTATGTGTTTAAGGGATTTTTTTTAATGGTAACATAAGTATGTGAACTCTTATATAACACTAAAAAATAGCAAGAACTTGATTTAGAAATTTATAAAGTAACTTTTCATCATTCAAAATTAATCCATCAAGGCTCCGCACGGTGGCTCATGCCTGTAATCCTGGCACTTCAGGAGGCTGAGACAGGCAGATCACCTGAGGTCAGGGGTTCAAGACCAGCCTGGCCAACCTGATGGATAGCCAGTTTTCCCAGCACCATTTCTAATTGGTATTTTTATAATACCTAGCAACCACAGAATAGATATCCTAAGTGCCCACAGGGCATAGACCAAGGTAGAACACATTCTAGACACATTTATCAAACCTCAAGAAATTCAAAAGAATTGAAATGATAGTGTGTTCTCTGACCACAGTGGCATGTAATGCAAAATGATTTTTAAAAAAAAACAAACTTTTAAGTAACCCAGGCATCAAAGAGGAAATCTCAAGGGAGATAAATATGAATATAGAAATGTGAGTGAAAATACAAGAGTTCTAGGGAATGTGATGTAAATATATAAATGTGAGTGTGGAAATACAGAGTTCCAGGGAACATTTGTCAGATATAACTGAATCTGGACTTACAAAGAAATGTATACAACTATTTGTTCACACTAGAAATGAAGAGAGGGAGATGGCAAATAGAACAAGATGGCAAAATAGAACCTCCAACAATCGACAACAATCTTGTGTGGATTGAACAATAATCTACACAACACCTTCAAAAGAACCCGAATCATTTAAGTGATCAGGTTACCTGATCACTTAATCATGCACCAAGGAGGGTAGGAGAGGCAGTCTTGAACTGCTGCCATCACCCCTCCCCATCCCTCAGCAGTGGCTATGTGGCAAGGACAGAGAATCTATGTGCTTGAGGGTGGGACAGTACAAAAATGGTGGGACTTTGCACTGAAACTCAGTGCTGCCTGTCACAGCAGAGGACAATATGGGGCAAAATTCAGCCAGTGCCCATGGAGGGAGCATTTAGAACAGCCCTAGCCAGAAAGAAATTATCCAACCCGGTGGTTGAAATCTGAGGTTCAGCTAGCCCCACTACTGTGTGCTGAAGCACTCTGGGGTCCTAAATAAACTTGAAAGGCAGTCTAGGCCACAAGAATTAAAATTCCTGGGCAAGTTCTGGTGCTGTGCTGTGCTCAGAGCCATGGGGAAAGGGATGCATGTTACCCAGTGACACACCAGCTGGAACAGCCAAGAGATTTTTATATCACTCCTCTCTCAAACCTAGGCAGGCAGCACTTTGTTCTGGAAGAGACTCCTGACTTCTCCTCAGGAGAAGGAGAGGGGAGAGTAAACAGGACTTTGTCTTGCAACTTGAATAGAGCTCGGACACAGTAAAATGAAGCAGCAGATGACATTTCTAGACACACTATGGGCCAAAATAAAACACACTGCCTAAAAGGAAACACCCACTCTGGCAGGGTACATAACCTGATGAATAAAAAGCCGTTGAAACTTGAATAAACATCAGTGGTAGCCAAGCATTAATTTCTGTGGGCCTTGTGTGAGACCCAGTGCCAAACAGGCTTTAGGTGTGACACAGCACATTAACAGTTTTTGTGGTCATGGGAAGAAATCACTTCTGCTTGAAGATAGAAAAAGGACAAGTATTAAGGACTTTATCTTGTAGCTTGGGCACCAGCTAAGCCAGAGCATAGTGGATGGTCTCCAGACATCAGAAAGCAGAGGGCCAACCAGAATGAAAAAACCTCAGGCAGAGTCCCAGGGAAGCAGCACGGCATCCCAGAACGAAGCCTGTGCAGTTGTGTGAATGAGCCTCCCAACAAGTCATGACAACTGTGATATCAAGGTCAGGCCTGCCTGTGGGCCCTTGGTTTGCCCTCACGTGAGCATCATTCTCGAGGAAAACAGAAACTGGCAGCCTCGGTGGCTGACAGAAGGTAAGTGTTTCTCTGTCACTGAGGTATGTCTGCCTGTATGAATGTCACTCTTTCTCTCCTGTCTTTTAGTCTTTCTGCTTCTCTCTCTTTCTCTGTGTGTGTGTGTGTATGTTGGGACCAATGTGCCCTGTGCACCAAAGGGCGATTTTTTCCACGTAGGCCTGTGTTTGATGAGCCTCTTTCTGTGTCTCTGCCTGGGTCTTGTGGCCGGTTAATCATTTTCCTGGAGGATCCACTTTGGGTTTGTGAAGGCCTCAGTGATGTGAGGAGATGCATCCAACCCTGAGGAATTGAAATCTCATCCCCATCCTGAGTGGCCTCTTTTCTAGGATCAAGATGACCACACCCTAGCCAAGGCCAAAAGCCTTATAGGAGCTCATTTTCCTGCAGGAGGGGAGCAGACCGACGTCAAAGATGGTTCTGACTCCTTGCAGCTCTTCTCTGAGAAATGAAGCCACAGCCCGACACAGGCTTAAAGAAGCCGGGAACTGGACATGGCAAAGATCCCTGTCACTCGAACGCTGGCCTTTCTGGACAAGTCACCCGTTTGGCACTCCTCCCTGGATGCCCCTGGATGCCCGTGGCGGTGGCATTGTGCTGCTTCCTGCCTGGGCTCCGGTCTCTGCTCTGTCTTCCCTCTTGCTTCGTCTGCCCTGTTTCTGAGGGGCCTAGATGCTTCTTGGTCTGGCTCCATGTCTTCAACAAAGAATACTTCCCAGTCCATCAGGGAGAAACTTCGTGGAGAGCTGTGTCATGAGTGTTTCCCTCCCCAAACCTGTTTCTGGTTGATTGGGCAGGCATGACCATCCTGGAGCTCTGGGCTTCCACACCTGCCTCACACAGGGAAGCTCCTTTGGTCTCCATGTTTCACCTGATGGCTACGTGGTTTGTCTAGCATGAGCCGTAGGCCACTGTGGCAGGACTTGGCTTCTAGGAAAGGTGGTGTCCCATTTCCTCTGTACTTCCTGTCTCATTCTTGGGGACATTTGCTTCCTCTGCTCCTGGATGCACTGCCTCCCAGAACTGAATCTTTTGTCACGAATATCAGGGGGCCAAAGGGACTGGGCTTGTGCTGGGCATGCAGGGGAGGTTGCATCAGGGCTACCTAGCCCGTGGAGGTGAACTTTGCAGAAACCTCTTGGATCCTCAGGCAGGTATCCCTGAATGTGGCTTGGACTCAGGCACAGTCCCTCTCCTGGTTCCCAGAGGTGCTTTGCTCTTCCCTGGAGGTCTTGGGGAGCTCACCAGTGCTCCCCACCCCGGGCTCATGCCTGGACATCATTGTCCGTCTCGCCATGGCCCCATATGGCCTCAGAGACTCACACTCCGTATGCCCTGGGGGACACTAGTGCCACCTGAGGTCGCATTGGCTCCACCTCGGACTTGATGTGTCCCTGTTTGCACGTGAACTGGAAAGCGGTGTCGGGATGCAGGAGCCCCAGGGCTTTGGAAGCGGGGCAGGCCACTGCTCCTCCCAGGGAGGACCGAGGCAGAGGCCTCATGGGTCAGTGAATTTTGACCTGACAGCACGCTTAGAGGCCCCTGGGATCTTTCTGTGCCTCAGCGAGGGCGTCCTCGCCTCACCAGATGGTAAGCCCATCCCTGCTGACCCGGTGGGATCCAAAATCAGAGCTCTACAGGAGTCTGAGACCCCAGCAGTCGCCCTGAAGCTCCTCGTCCTCCATTGGTAGAAGTCGGCTCACGGAGGTCCTGAGGACAGGATTTCTGGGTGTGAAGCCCTGGGGCGCCCGCAGCCCCCTCTCCCATGGCACCCCCTACTCGACCCCGCTCCAGCGGCCTCCACGGCTGCCGCGGGAGCCCCTAGACTGCGCCTGGCCACCGCGCTGCCTCCATTGTTTAAAGGGGCCGCAGCCTGACTTCCTGGAGCAGGCGTCAGCCTAGCCAATGCGCATGCGCGAGGCGGGAGGCGCGAGACGCAAGCCGCTTCTCTAGTCACAGTGACCGCCTGAGGGACGGGTCCTTGAGGCGTGGCAAAGCAGGAGCCCTCCGTGGTAGCGTGTGGGTGTGGAAGCTCCAAGGCTCCGGACTGACCTCTCCAGGGGATCGACAGGTGGGTCTCCGAATTCTAGGAGTCGCGGAGGGCGGACCAGGATGAAGAAACCACAGGCGGAATCCGGAGGAAGCAGCGTCGCATCCCAGCCTCAGGCCTGCCCGGACTGTTTGCAGGTGAGTCTCCCCAAAAGTTGTGATCTCAAGGACAGTTCTGCGTGTGTGCCCGTGGGCTGCTCTCTCACTCGAGGGTCGTTCTCGCGGAGAGCAGAACCCGGCAGCCTAAGGGGTTTCCTGGTGGTGTGTTTCTGTGCCATTGCTGTATGTCTGTGTGTGCCCCTTTCTCTCCTCTCTCTGTCTCTCTCTGTTTCTCTCCTCTCTCTCTC